GCCCTGCCTCTGACGGCGTGGTTCGACCTGACCGGGTGGTTCGTGGGCGCTGGGCGAAGCTGTGCGAGAGGGGTTCAGGGGCTCGGGGCGCTCCTGTGTTCCCAGTGGCGTGGGGTGAGAGTCGCCTCCCCTGCCCTACCGAGTGGCACCTCCGGTGCCCATGGGGCTCTGGTTACGGTTCTTCAGCGTTGTGCCAAGTGGCACCGATCTCTGAGGAAACGGGTTGTTCCCACGTCTTGAAACACTTACTTGAGAAATTAAAAAAAAGTATTGAGAAAATTAATGAAATTCAGCAAGAACAAGTGTAGAGTATTGCATCTGGGGAAGAACAACCCTATGTATCAGTACAGGATGGGGGCTGACCTGCTGGGGAACAGCTCAGGGGGAAAGGACCTGGGGGTCCTGGGGTGCATTAAGAAGAGTGTGGCCGGTATGTTGAGGGAGGTTCTCTTTCCCCCCTACTCTGCCCTGGTGAGGCTGCAGCTGGAATACTGTGTCCAATTTTGGGCTCCCCAGTTCAAGGACGGGGGACTACTGGAGAGAGTCTAGCATAGAGCCACTGAGGTGATGGGGGGACTGGAGCATCTCCCATAGAAGGAAAGGCTGAGAGAGCTGGGTCTGGAGAAGAGACTGAGGGAGGAACTCATGAATGTTTATAAATATCTAAAGGGCGAGTGTCAGGAGGATGGGGCCAGACTCTTCTCAGTTGTGCCCAGTGACAGGACAAGGGGCAGTGGTCACAAACTGGAACACAGGAGGTTTGACCTAAACATAAAGAAAAACTTTACTGTGGGGGTGTCAGAGCACTGGACCAGGCTGCCCAGAGAGGTTGTGGAGTCTCCTTCTCTGGAGACATTCAAAACCCGCCTGGAGGTGTTCCTGTGTGACCTAGTCTAGGTGATCCTGCACTGGCAGGCAGGTTGGACTGGATGATCTTCAGTGATCCCCTTCAATCCCTACCATTCTGTGATTCCTTCCCCCTTCCACCTGCAGCTTTAGCTATGGGTGGGAAGCATTGCTCCCCCATCATACCTGAGCCTGTAACCACTGTGGGGAATGCTGCTTGCAGGCATGAAAACCTGGGTGTTGACATGTGCCTTTGGGTGGGTGGTGTTTTAATTCCACAAGAAACCTGTTGTTTCTCTGAGGTGCTGAAAGATAAAGCTGATTTCCTTTATTTTTCTGAAAGAAAGAAGTATTGGTATGACAGCCCTACCCTGGGATCTAAAATGGTAAGTGCAAGCTTTTAAGGTGCTTTGCTTATCTGTGCCAGGAGGCACAAGCCTGTGCTTCTGCTGTTGTGTCTAACTTTGGGACACAACAGCGTCTAAACCTTTTTCTGGTGGAGAAATCTTGTGAATGAACACTAAGGCTCCAGTTTCACTAGGACATGCCAGGATTGCTGTGGAGAGAAGCCGTTTGGTTCCCCAAGCCGTTTCCTCTTCTGTGCTGATCTTTCATCAGAACCAGCGCTCTCTTACATGCTCTTGAGCCCATAGTGGAGAACTGATTCAGATTAAAACTTCTGTATACCAGCTTAGTTTTACGGAAAGCAAGTTTTCATGTTTTTTTTTCTTTTTTTTCTCAAACAAGCAAGGCTTTTCATTTAATGCATGCAGTATTTTACAAAACTGATTTATTGAGCTGTATAACTTGCTGCAAAATGAAAAAGGAACTAAGAAACCTTCACTATAATGCGTGGTCAAAGATTTTGTGAACAGAAGTATTCTTTCTTGTAGCTCCTGATACATCAGACCTATACAAAGCCATCACAGCTCCAGTAATGGCATTCTAAAAGCATACTTGGTAGAGTGCACAAAACTGTATATAATTGCCTTATACAAGTTTGTAACCACTGATTAATGTGGTGTTTTATTTCTTTTTAAAGATGTATAAACCAACCCCTGTAATAAAAGATGACCAGACAAAAATTAGGAAAGAAGAGAACATACGCTGCAGAATCTTGAACAGTCTCATTCATAAAACTCTGGCAGAGATGATGACTACCTGTGAAATTAGTCAAGAACTTTATGATCTCAAGCTGGAAATCTGCAAGGCAAGTGCCAAAGGTACAGCTTGTGTTGAGCTGCTGTGCTTACGCTTTGAGGTCGGTATGGCAGGCCAGAGGAGCTCCCCTGGTAGTTGTGATGCAGACAGGAGGAGTTTTGCTGCATTGCTGTGGGACAGATGAGGCTCTGGATTCACCTTGCACCGTAGGAGAACTTTGCCACAGTTGTACCTGGCTTAGTAGGCTTTTGCCACTATAATGCAAATGCAGCGTGGGCCAACTAAATGGTGATTTTCCTGATATGACCTTTTTTTTCCTGTTACTCAGGCATGATCTATTTGCCTTACCCTTTTAGAAGGAGGAGGCTGTTTTTACCAATGTAAGTGTAGCTTCCCAAGAGGTCTTTTCTTCCTGCAGCTGTGTTAGTTGTTACCTCCTTGCGTCCCTCACTAGCATCATTACACAGGCAGAAGACCTACGTGAGGCATGAGCTTAGTTAAAAAAAAAGGCAAGCCTAGGAAAATGGCATTGTCAAGTAAGGTTCCAGGAAGAATCGGAATTTGTACCTAACTGTAGCCAGTGTTGTCATAATTCATGGGTTTGGAAGGGATATTAGAGCTCTGGCTCAGGAACTCAGTCAGTCTCCACTTTCTTGTTTGTTTTCTGTAGTTTTCTCTTCTACACTTGCTGTTTTGTTAAGATTAAATGATGCCAATGTTTGGCTTAAAAGCTTGATGGATTTAACTTTGTTAGTCAGAAGAATGGGAAAAAATTGCACCTCATATCTGCATTTAAGACAAGGGTTTTGTCATTTATGATTGAAACACATGTGCTTGCCAGCTGACTTCATTCTGTCTTCAGGCAAGTGATCAAAATTACGTGGACAAGATGAAACTTTTGGCTCTATATGTGCAGTATCCTTCATATAGAATTTCTCTCTAGGGCTTTGAGGATTGCTTGTCTGTCTAAGATGGCATATCTGAACGTAAAAATACTGTCTGGTGTAGGCAAGCCACGGCACTTTCAGGAGGCATTGCTGCAAATGAAACAACTTATAACATGAGAAAGAAACAGCCTTCTTCCAAATATAGTACAGAATTTATTATAACTGCTTGATGTTCATTTTGCCCTGGGACATGGCTGAGACTCAGTCCTGATTTACTCTTGAGCTGATTCTGGTCTGATATAATTATGTCCGCTATCAAAAGAGATCTTCTAGTAGGCTTTCTGCAGTCCATCAGAATTTGGGGTTTTTTTGTAATCGAAAGTTAAAATTACTTAATAGTAATACAGATAAGAATCATGCTTCAGGCTTGACACATCGAACTTTTATCCACTTGATAACATTACTCATGTGATGATGAAATCACTTCTGCTAGGTAGGGTTACGTGTTTACAGTAGATTTGGTGTGGGAGATGGAAAGGGTTGAAATTATCACAGTGGGGTTTTTGTTAATGAGTGGTGGGTTTCCCGAGAGAGAAGTCACTTGGTGGTGGAAAAAATCAGTATCTACTTTGGTTTTTGGGGACAGCCCATTCTGCCCTAGGAAAGGGTGGCACTGTCAACAGCAGACTGTGATGCAGTTTTCACTCCTGGGAATACTCTCATGGAGTTGTCTTTTCCTGTCTGTAGATACCTGTTTGTTTGAAGAGTTGGTTTCTGGAGTAGATGACCTCTGAACTGTGCCTTCCAATGGGTAGTTTATGCTTTCTCCACCCTCTTCCTTGGCTCCTTCCTTCGGTTGAGCCAGATAGGTTATTAGAAGTTTGCTGAGTGTACTCTCATAGGGAGAACTTGTTCTGTAAGATGTTGCTTAGATGCGATGAATGAGAGTCATAGAAACGTCTCAGAATCCAATTTGTAATTCAGAAGTTTATTCTTCAGGAAGATTGTCAGTCTGTCTCATGTGTACTTTGTCCCCTGCACACCATTTTCAATTGCATGCATGAATATGCTGTGAATATTACCTGCTAGTGAGCTGGAGGATCAGGCACTGGTTCCCAGCAGGCTTTAGAGCTAGAGAGACTCTTACATTACGGTGGTATGGAGTGCATTCTCTTTTCTGTCAATATCAAAACCAAACTCTAGGTGGCAACAAAAAGGCAGTGTCACAGGTCCTTCTTTAGCGAAACTTACAGTTTCAACTGTATTCCAAAACAGCATGCCATAAATTGTCGTTATGGATCACTTGGAGCACTGTCGCATTGGCTAAATGTAGCACTGTCAGTAATGTACAGGTGCTGACAGACTTCTCCATTTAGATTCAGTTCAAGGGGAGATTAGGCAGGGAGTTGCCTAAATAAAAAAAGTCCTTTCAGGTACTGAATGTAACTACCTCTGTAAAGGCACCATGTACTTTTGGTTCTTAGGAGCAGAGATGGAAGAAGAGATTCCTCTAAGAATTTACATAGCCAGTTTGGGCCACTGTATGCTTGTTCATGAGTTAGAGACTATACATACTGTACAAATTATATACATAATTTTTTTAAAAAAAGTTCATCTATTTGCAGGTGTCCCTGGCATCAAACTTTTCAGCATGTCGTGTATACTGGAATCCTGCTGCTACTATAGAGACAGAAAGTTATATTGAGAGGGTGCTGCAGAAGAGTGCTCCCCGGATACGGTACTGCTGTGGGATAAACAGACCACTTCATAAATTCATAGCCATGTATTAGTACCATTTCTTAAGTATTTCTAACAGTTTATACCTGACCTGTTAGGATGCTTTTATGTTTTCAGATATGTGGAGTCAGAGCATCTCTTGTGATGAGCCTCACAGGGAAGGATGGCTGTGTCAGACCAGCTGTGTATTTTCCTGCTGGAGCACAGCTGGCTTTTTTGGCTTCTGTGCTTTCCTAGGATTCAGGTGGGCTGAGCAGAAAGAAAGAGGAGTTTGGCTGAAATGTCACTTCGTTGTACTAGTGGTGGTGGGCTGGGCATGCTGTGCATGACAGCAGGCCAGAATGTGATGCTGCACAAGAAGACTGGCAATTACACCAAGCATCTCCTTACAGGTTCATTTGGCAGTTCTGATTGCTAGGGGCAATTTGGACCTCCAGAAGGGATGATTGATATTACAGAAATTTTTTACAATATTGATACCAAAAAATAAGTATTGGGATGCTACCATGTATTGTGATACTTTTACCCATTTTTGACAGAGGGTTCAGTGAGTTTTCAGGATATCATAGAGATTTTTGTCTCTCCCTCTTTGCTTGGCTTACCCTCTGCTCTTCAGCCAGTCTGTTGGAGGATCAGGAGTTCATCCCATGGGGCAGGTGGCATTGAAACATACTTGTAGAGCCATTTTCTTCCCCCCATTTCCCTATGCTGCGTAGTTCCTGCTCCAGCACAATGCCCCCTTCTACTCCCAACAGCTTCCAGTCTTTGAGAAGGAATGTTGCTGGCTGGGAAGAAGACAAGGGGAGCTCTGTCAGTCCCTCTTGCAGGTAGCATGTAGGACTAGTCGTCTGCCCTGCTGTCAGGGCTCTATTCCCCACTGCTCTCACTGCCTACAATGGGGATAAGGAAGCCAAAGGAAGTGGGGAAAGACCTGAGCCAGCCTGTGCATATAGGAGTCACATCTAATATCAGTACTCAGTGAGATCTGCAGCCACTAGTTTTTGTGTGTTACACATTCAGAGTTGGGATTCTGCAGTGATGTATTGCTTAGCGCTAACCTGAATGGATACCCATCAGACTGTCATTTTTTGCAAACCGTATCCTTAAATTTGCAGTACTGCCGGAATTACTTTAACATATTTTATCTGTCCTGGAGGTGCTGTACTGGTACTCATATTGGTGAATGCTGTATTTTTCCAGGTATCTTCTGACAAGTCAGCAGATTCTAGGAAATGTACCCCCAATAATATTCGTAAAAGACAAAGAAGCTGCAGCTGTAAAAGAGGTAATTGTAATCTTTGGCTCAATGTACAAATATAATGATATGCAAACATGGTGACTTAGCATATCATAATGCTTAGGAATACGGAGGTAGCTGATTATTCAGTTCCTCTACCAATCTACATTAAAAATCAGTCTTTGTCTGTACTCTTTCCTCTTCATGTTTCAAAACTGATGCTTATATAGAATGTAAATAAGAAAAAGAAATCCTAAAAAAATGAAATTTCAATCTTAAGGAATAATATAGGGTAGACAGTTGTCTGTTGCCTGGTGTATGTGGTTATAGAAATGAGGTCTGAGGAGCTGTCGTCTGCATTTTAGATGTTATGTGTTTGTAAATATGCCATTGACTCTAATCAGTGATTTTTAAATATTTTTTTTTTACCCCAACCTTTTTCCGTCTGTGAATTGTTAAAATGTTTCTAGGGAAGTGCAGATCTTTGCATAGAGGATGTAAGCTCACTACATCTTTTTTCACTTTTGAAATTGTCTTTACTGTCAAGGTGTTGTCATTTTCTGTCAAGATGTTGATAGTTTTAACTAGTTGAAATATTGCTAGAATAATGATATTTTCTAGGAATTTGTTCTCATTAGGACTGTGAAGTGAGGTCTCTTAAATAGTGAGATTTCCAGAAGAGAAAGATGACACCAATGAGTGGAATTTAATTAAAAATAAGTCTTCTCAAGTTGTTCATGTGAATGGAAGGATCATTAGTTGAAAAGGGCACATTCACATTTCTGTGCCCTGAAGTGCCTTGTTCTTAGGTGTGTTACTATTATAACCAATTACTGTTAGTGACTTAACGGGTTCATGTGCTGTATTAGCAGAGCTGGAAGGGATAACAAGAACTTCAGACTCCCTAGAAATGCATTGAATGGCTTGAACTTTCTGTGGTCAGAAAAATTCTGAGTTTCACGCCAATGTACTGATCCACAGCACAAATGTTTTTCACCTACATTAGCATCAATCAAAAGCACAAGAACAGAAACAAACACAACACTTCTGAAAGCTGTTTATTTGTTATTATGCTCCCTCTAATCAACACAAGAAATTCTACACAAGTAACAAGGGATTATGGAAGCACTTTGTCATTACTATTACTCTGTTATTAACATACCTAGATGGAGCTACCAGTGTCTACTCCTGCAGGTCCTGCTTTTCACATCTGTCATTGTAGAACCTGCTCCATTAATCACTGTTTCTCAAACTTTGTTAAATGATGACTTACTCTTTTTGAAGAAGAAAACCCCTGGACTACCTTACCTTCAAGTTCAGCGCATAGGCACCAAGAAAGTTAACCACGCAAGATAAGTAAAAAACCTCCAAAAAGTAGTTGACCAAAAAGTAATTGTGTTTTTTTTAAAATCGATGGTCACACGTGTCTTGAAATACAGCTAACTTCGTTTTAAACCATAAATTCATTATGTAACGTGGTAGTTGACAATTCAGACTTGTTTTAGAAAAAGTCCACCATTTCCTTAACAGTTATTTGGTGTCGATTTCAAAATGGAATATCAAAAGGAACATTTTTGTTATATTTTACTGTATTACTTCTGAAAAGGTAAAAACACTGTGCAAGCTCATAAGAAGTTGTATGTATGGTGAAGATGCCTTAAAACTGCATCAGTGTCAGAATTGGTTTGCTAGATTTCCATCTGGACATTTTGATGTTAAAGATGCACCATGCTCGGGAAGGCCAGTCGATGTTGATAACAACAAAATAAAGGCATTGGTTGAATCCAGGCAGTGTTTAACAACATGAGAGACTGACGAAAACCTTCACATACCACAGTCGAGCATTGAAAACCATTTAAAACAACGTGGATACATTAGGAAGCTCAGTATTTGGGTACCACAGGAGCTTAAAGAAATTCATCTCACTAAGTGCGTTGACTTCTGCGATTCTCTCATGGACCGTGAAGGAAATGAACTGTTTTTGAAATGTGTGATAACAGGTGATAGAAAAATGGTTCATCTACAACAATGATGAACAAAAAAGATCATGGAGCAAGCGTGATGAACCAGCTCCAAGCACCTCAAAAGCAGATATTCACCCAAGGAAGGTGATGCTGTCAGTGGGGCGGGATTTCAGAGCTATTGTGTATTTTGCATTGCTTCCAATGATCCAAACCATTAATTTGGATGTATACTGTCATTAACTGGATAAATTCAATGATGCCATCAAACAGAAGCGTCCAGAATTGGTGAATCGCAAAGGTGTTGTGTTTCTCCATGATAACGCTAGACCACACGCAAGTTCGGTCACGCATCAGAAAATGCTGCAGCTTGGATGGGATGTGTTACTCCATCCACTATATTCACAGACATGGCACCATCAGACTGCCATTTGTTTCATTCTTTACAAAATGCCTTGATTGGTAAAACCTTCACTGCTGATGAGGATATCAAATCATTCTTGGAACTGTTTTTTTGCCAAAAAAGATAAGAATTTTTTTGAGTGTGGAATCATGAAGTTGCCTGAAAGATGACAAAAGGTAATTGAACAAAATGGACACTATATTGTTCAATACAGTTTTTATTTCCCATGAAAAAAATCAACTTTCATTTGCCCAGAAAAAAACGCAATTACTTTTTGGCCAACCTAGTAACTTCTGTCAGTGAATGGCACTGGAAAAAAGCACTTAGATCTTTTCACACTTTGCAGATCATCAGCTTTATGTAATCCACAGATTGGAATAACAGAGCTTGAAATAACGTAGCTGAACCTGAGTTTTAAGTATTGGCAGACAGGGAAGGACCATCCAGTTCAACTCCTAGAATAATATGTTGAATTAGAAGGGAAATAATGTAAAGAAAGGTAGGACTAAAAATTTCAAATGAGATAAAATTTTCACAATTGTGTGCAGTCTATAAGCACTGGATAGACTAGATCTGTAGCATTTACATGGTAAAATGGAATTGGGAACTCAATATTTACCTTCAGTAGAAAAACAAACTTGCAGAAAGGGGAAGGAAGTGAAAAAAATCCCAGTGTAAGTATCTTATGAAAAAGGATTTGTAAGACTGATGTAAGACCAAATGAAACAAAAATTATGTATGTCACACAATCCCTAGCCAGCTGTGCAGAACATACCGAGGTGTAGGAATCCCTGGGTCAGTTATGCTATTTGTCACAGACTTCCCAGGCAAAAATTATAAGCGGTTCCATGTAAATGGAGAAAAAGACTGTTTTGAAATGTTTTTTCCAAGTATTCCAAACATGTATAAAATAAAATATTTGCTATTTTGATACTTGTCTGCTTCTTTTGTAGGTGTGAACAAAGTAAATTTAATACAGGGCCTTTAATAAGTGTCTTCTTGTATTTACAGGTTGAGGACTTACTGTCAATTGCTGATTTTGGACCTCCAGAAGAAGTAGAAACGTTATCTCAAGATGATTCCAGGTGGGTTTTTTAAAATCAGAATTGTCTATGTCCATTTTCATCTCTGTTGGCCAACTTAAATTTGGTATTATTTGACATGACAGAAAGTATATTTTAATTAGATGTGTACATTGTTTTTATCTCAGAGTTCAGCAAATGGTGCTATGAGGAAACAGAAAGTAGAAGAGAGAGACTTTTTGGAAGACCTTACTGAAAAGGCACCTCAGCTTTTAAAGAGATCAGTTAGGCCCTTTCATTAACAGAAGAGGCTACAGAATAGCCTAGGAAAAAACGGTTATGTACTCATCCCAGAAATGAAACGTAGAGGATGGCATTTTATTCTGTGGCTTAAGCTTTCTTTACCAATGTTATACCCATTTATTAAAATCAAGGGAAGATATTCCTTCCTTACTTATTCCTTATGTTCTGGTTTACTTTGGTATTTTAGTGCAGACACACTTTCACAGGCTGTTTTGTTGCTGGTTCTTGTGCACAGGTATGCACATGCTGCAGACCACGGGTTTGCATGTATGGAAAAGAAAGTCTCTTTTTTGGCTATAGGTGGATCTCTCTCAAAGCTGTGTAAAATGACTGAATTGCTACTTGTAGCAGCAGAGCGTATGCGCTTTCAGAGGCAACTAGTCCATCAGGTGATATCAGAACACCATCTTAGAAATCAGCTGTGCTTGATGCCTGTATTCTGAGTGACATTGCCATCAGACTTGTTACTTGCAGGCTTTACTTCTATGAGGGACATAGTTTTAGAATTTCTAAGAATTCAAGACTCAGTGTGTTTGTGATAATTACATTTAAAAACTTGCTTTCCAGCAGTAAGATTTGTTTCTTGCTGGTAATTTTCTCATGAGGATAAAAGCTCTCCATCTACCATTACTCCTCTACTTGGCCACCTTTATCTGGTCTAAGTTTGAATTGTTTCACATGAGCACAAGTTTACTGGTAAATCTCCTTAAGTTAACAAAAAGTAAGTTAATTCAGCATTCTTCTGTGAGGGATTTTTGGCTATTGAGGGATAGGGCTGAACAATCTATTGGAATAATGATTCTGTGGACTTCTGTGAGTTCTTAAAGCCAACAGTCTTGCCCTTGTGTGCTGTAGTCTGTTGGTGGAAATGCCTTGAACAAAGAGTACCGTGGTATCTCTTCCTTCTTAACATAGGAAGCACAATGTGGAACACAGTGCATTGATAAAGTCGAACTGAAAACTCCAGTTTATTTCTGTTATTCAAGTTGTCACAATTAGCATTGCACCTTCAAATATATATGGGGAAAAAGCCCACAGCATTTGTTTTTCTTTCCACAGTGAACTGTCCTCTTCAGCAACGCAGTCGTCAGATTCTCCCATGAGGTCTAATCTGTTTGGTGTTGATCATGAACTGCTGAATAAGCAGATAATGGACTACAAAAGACTGAAAGTGTCAAGACATACGGAAAACATTGCCTGGACAGAAGAGCAGGAACAGCAGCTTTCTGAGATTAAAAAGAAAATGAAAAAGAAAAAGACAGGGAATCCTCCTGATGATGACATTACACCACAGAAATACTTACTGGACAGATACGAAGAGGATAACTGGGATGATAACACTGAATCAGTCTCGGACTATGAGCTGGAGGATGAATTACAGGAGGAAGAAAACGAATTGGAGGTGGATGATGGCAAAATGAAGTGAAAAACTCACTCCCTTTAAAGTAGAGGCTGCCAATAGCAAGAAAAAGACTGCCATAGATATTGTAAGATTAGTTTTGTACAGCCTCTTTTGTACAGTTTTTGCAACTTCCTCTTTGAACTAAGAGATTTGCCACACATGGGGAGGTTTGCTAGTACAAGGTATGTAAGAAAAACAAAAATGCTATTTGTGACATTCTGTTAAGCAGTTTTCAAGATGCTGCATTTGTAGGACTTGGAAATGAGCAGTTTTGTAATAAAATATACATAGTGCAGCACTGAGTTAAAACTTCTTGCAGTTTTGTTGATTATTTCTAATAAAATTATGGTTTCTGTCTTGAAATAAAATGTCTCCTCTTTTTTTTGAGTGATCTGCATAAAAATAATAACAAAGTGATGGTGTCTGTTATTCTAAGGTCAGGAAGGAAGAAGGAAACAAAATAAAGACAGCCGTGTCCGAAAAGCAGCCTTCAGTGCACAAAGACCAGGACAAGGGTAATCTTTAGAGAACCTAATCTGATGGGGCAACTCACTGAAATGATGGCAGATACAGTTACAAAACTGAAAGAAAATAAATGGGTTTATTTAAATCAGAAGTTTATAGTTGTGCAAGGGGAATGGCAACCAGAAAAGAATGGAGAACTGCTCATCTGTTGGATAAAATTGGGCAAAGCATTGACTATGACTGAAAAAAAAATGTATTAAAAACTCAGAAGGCAGAGAAAAAGCAGGGAAGAATGCTTCAGTAACTGAGATTTGGAAATGCACGTGGAATCATATGAAAAATGAGGAAAAAAGCTTTCTGGCTCAAAGCAAGTGAAAAATAATAGCATGAGTGTATAAAGTCAGAAGGGCTGAAGCTTCAAATCATCTTGAGTGCCATTACGCACCATTTATGGGACAACCAGATGATCAGGCCCAGTCAACATGGGTTCATGAAGGTCAGGTCCTGCTTAACGAACCTGATCTCCTTCTATGACAAGGTGACCCACTTGGTGGATGAGGGAGAGGCTGTGGATGCTGTCTACCTGGACTTCAGTAAAACCTTCAGTACTGTTCACCACAGCATTCTCATGAACAAACTGGTTGCCTGAGGCTTGGACGGGCATATGCTCTGCTGGATCAAACATGGGCTGGATGGCCAGGCCCAGAAACTTGTGGTGAATGGGGTTAAATACATTTGGAAGCCAGTCACAAGCAGTATTGCCCAAGGCTCAGTGTTGGGGTCACTCCTGTTTAGTATCTCTATCTGTGATCTGAAGGAGGGGATCAAGTGCTCCCTCAGTTTGCAGCTGGCACCAAGTTAGGTGGGAGTGTTGATCTGCTCTAGGGTAGGAAGGTTCTTTAGAGGGACCTGGATAGGTTGCATGAATGAACCGAGGCCAATTGTATGAGCTTCAGCAAGGCCAAGTGCTGGGTCCTGTGCTTGGGTCACAACAACCCCATGCAGCGCTACAGGCTTGGGGACGAGTGGCTGGAAAGCTGCCATGCAGAAAAGGACCTGGGGGTGTTGGTGGACAGCAGGATGACCATGAGCCAGCAATGTGCCCGTGCGGCCAAGGCCAATGATATCCTGGGGTGTATTAGAAATAGTGTGGCCAGCAGGACCAGGGAAGTGATTGTACCACTGTACACGGCCCTGATGAGGCCACACACAGAATCACAGAATATTAGGAGTTGGAAGGGACCTCAAAAGATCGTCCAGTCCAACCCCTCTGCCAGAGCAGGATCACCTAGACCAGGTCACACAGGAACGCGTCCAGGCGGGTTTTGAATGTCTCCAGAGAAGGAGACTCCACAACCTCTCTGGGCAGCCTGGTCCAGTGCTCTGTTACCCTTACAGTAAAAAAGTTTTTCCTCATGTTCAGGTTCAACATCCTATGCTCCAGCTTGCTCCCATTGCCCCTTGTCCCCTCATTGGCTATCACTGAGAAGAGCCTAGCTCCTTCCTCCTGTCACTCACCCTTTACAAATTTATAAACATTAATGGGGTCATCCCTCAGTCTCCTCTTCTCCAAGATAAAGAGACCCAGCTCCCTCAGCCGCTCCTCATAAGGGAGATGCTCCACTACTGTGTTCAGTTTTGGGCACAGCAGTGTAAGAAAGACATTGAGGTGCTGGAGAGGGTCCAAAGAAGGGCAACAAAGCTGGTGAAGGGTCTTGAGAATAAGTCTTAAGTGGAGTGGCTGAGGGACTTGGGGTTGTTTAGTCTGAAGAAAAGGAGGCTGAAGAGAGACGTTATGGCTTTCTACAACTACCTGAAAGGAGGTTCTAGAGAAGTGCATGTGGGTCTCTTCTCACAAGTTACAACCGACAGGACAAGAGGAAATGGCCTCAAGCTATGCCAGGGGAGATTTCGGTTAAACATTAGGAAATAATTCTACACTGAAAGGGTTATCAAAGACTGGCACCCCGGGCAGTGGTTGACTCACCACCCTATTTAAAAGCCATCTAGATATGGTGCTCAGGGACATAGTTTAGAAGTGGGCATGGTAGAGTTAGATATCAGTTGGACTTGATGATCTTAAAAGTCTTCCAACCACAACGATTCTGTGATTCTATAATTCAAAGTAAGTTATAATTATCAAGGTAGTAAAAATGAATTCTACCAGAAAAAAGAACCATTTAATTCCATTAGTTAATGGGGAAGCAGAGAAAGACAATGCAGGGGAGGTTGTACCACAGTGTGCTGCTCTAGTTTTTCCAAAAGATTTAAAAAAGACCGAGTGTGAGTTCCAAAATAGAAGATTTCAAAGCTCTATAGAATGTGCCCTATCAAACCAGAAGAACATCGTCATTAACTATGAATAATAACTTGCATGCATGCTTTTCTTGCATTTAGTCACTGCTGACAGCACATTGCTGCACTGCACTCATTGGTACTTCAAAATCTATTATGATATTGTCATAAACACCTAACCAACAAAGCATCACACTTCAAACTGTAAGAATGAAAGTGCACAAATGCTTGTCTGTTGTTGTGGTAATTACTTCTGACTTTTTTTTGGTAGTATGTTCTTCAGGTAGTCCATCGTACCTGGTGGGCTCTACTCTGACTTACTGGAAAACAAATTCTAGTGGAGAACACTTGTAATTAATTTCAGTTAATTACTCTCTTTCTGGCTCCAAGAAATAGGTAAGGAAACAAGAGAGAAAACAAAGCCATGAGGATGTGCATAGTAAAATGGCAGTGGAACTCCAGGGAACACCTGGACAGGTAACAAAAATCCCCATCCACTACAAACTTATGGCTAGAAAATATCTGGAACTAAAGCAACAAAATACCTATCCAGCATTAATCTCATGGTATGGAAAGAAAATTGTATCTCTTGTTTGACAGGCCAATGGAAAGACAGAATCAGCTGTGCTAAAGAAATATTTTTCCTTCTTAACTGCTGAACTGAGCACCAAAGGGAGTGCCTGACATTTTTGCCCTAGCCCGAGGTTTTTAAACAGGGAAAATCAATGAGAAAAGTATGTTGAAGATGAGGCAGCTTCATGCACGATGCGAGTGCTGTCCACACAGTAAATCTGCCTTGCCTGGGTGCTCGGCTGGAGACCATCTCATTTTTTCTGACAAAGCCAGGCTTGAATGATTACAATCAAAACACAAGGATAGAGGTTGTCAGTTAATGGACTCCAAATAGCTGCATTGATGGCCAATTTTTCTGGGCAGGCAGCTGAACTCTCACAAAATAAACACTGTATTTCTTCATCTAAACTTTCACAGTTCATATATAACAAAAGAGCCACCAAAACGGCACTTCATGTATTTTATTTCTCTAGGCAGTGCATCACATGTGAAGAGCTATCATGCCGACTGGTGTGCTGTTTCCAGCAAGTAGGTATTAGGCCTAAAACTTCTGAAACTGAGCACAACACCACTGTATGCCCCTGGAGTATGTTGTGAAGGCTTACAGCACAAACAGGAGCCCTTTTCATCTGCCATCAAAAAGCAATGAGGTTTGCCACAGAAAAGAGGAAATGCTGCCCAGGACACAGTTTCGTTACAGAATATTTTGGGGTAGAGATGCAAGAAGGTATTATGTCCTGCAGAACATGCACAAGAGTGTTCTCCAGGCTGGATGCAATTATTCACCGTATCTGTACTCAGATTTCACTCCTGCCTGAGAACTACGGCTACACTGAAGCTGTCTTTCCCCAGGTGGGAATGGGGTCTGGCTCCCAGCTTGCAGGAGACCTCCACCTCAGCTGTGGGAAAGGAGGTGAGAGGGGGCGGGCTGCAGGACTGCTGCAGAGCTCCTGCATCCTGTGAACACAGGCCTTGCTGCAAACCCAAAATCTAAATTTGGCAGCTTAGCTAGTTCAAAGAGTCTTTGTTGAAGAATGTGATTCCAACATCTGATAAGCAGCAAAATTGTGCATATTTGGTCAATGGAAAGTCAGTTCACATAGTTTTCTTCTTGCTAGTGTTGAAATATATTGCAAGAAAAGGGGAAATGTCTTTCAGTCTTTCCTCTCCCAAACTCTCCTCTGTCTGCAAAGTTTCCACTGAAAATTATACTTTAAAAAAAATATATGTTTGTATTTTTGGCAGTTTGTAACAAAGAGCAGCAGAAAAACCTGTGAGCGAGCAGCTGGGACAAGCTCTATGCGCTCTCCAGCATTCAAAGGCTCACAGAGGGCAGCCAGGTGCTCTCTGTGAATGGCTCTGATTTGGATGCCTGAACTTTAACTTCCTCATTGGTACCTCTGACTGCTTTGCCTAAGAGCTTGACATTTTGTGCATTTCTATTTCTGTCACGGCAGCAGCAGTCAGTGGGAGTCAACACTTCAGTGAGAACAGAAATGAATGCCTATCACTTGGTCAGCCCCAGGCTCTCAGGCTGCCATCAACCCTTTGGTGTATGGCTCCTGGTAATTGTTTCCCTCTTGTGTTAAGATTTATGGGCAGAAATCTTTAAAAATCATTATTCAGAGTGCATCTCACATTGAATTCTTACTTTTTATTTGTCTTGATAGCCTGTTTGCTGGCAGATTCAT